AGTCGCATTCCACTGGGAACCCCAGAGGACTATCGGTGTTTCGGCCGTCAAACGTCACCTGTTGGACCGGGTCTGTCTAAACCCCGTCCAGTCCGAATGAACTAACTTCCCCGTAAACAAATAAAAGTACTTTTCTAGTGAGTTACCGAGCGATGATGAAAGTTTCGGTGGGGTAAAGTGGGCCGTTCTCCCCCCTCCCATACACACCCGTTCCATCCGGAAACGTTATGTTCGTATCTTAGCTCTCAATAACCCAAAAGAGTAAATTCCATGGCAGCCGAGTTTTTCTTGAATCTAATCCGATTGCTTAGGTATTTTCGACATTAGAATGCACATTTGACGAGATACATGCATAAAATGATGGCAGTGACTACTGTAGTTAGTTTCTCACCTCGAATCACTCGCCACCGGGATCAAAGTGGACTGCTCCTTTATCAGAAGTGAAAATAAATCCAACTGTTGGTGATTACGTCGACCAAACTGGGATAAACATCAGCAGTTGATAGTTTTTACGATTTGCACCCAAACGAAATTCAAAATATTGATCTGCCCAACGTATTTCACGGGTTTGTCATGATTGTTTGGTTTTACCAATGCACGAACTACCTGCCTTGAATTGCCTTTAATCAGCACGTGCCCTGGAAAACACTGCCTACGAAGGGTTTGTTTCTGTATGAAATTATCCAGAAACGTCAAATGTAAAACCGGCCTACTGTGATTGTAAATGTGCTCCAAAGTCTACGAAATTTCTCAAGTACTGGGTATACTGACTTCAACAGAGTTATAATTTTCTGAGTTATATCTCCCACTCACAAACGTTCAGTTAATGAAACAAAGAATTAACTATCAAATCTATTAAAAATCAAGCATTTTCATAGCTGTCGGATACTGTACACGAACATGATTAGATGCATGCTGACAATGATCCTTCGTGATTTGAGACTTGGTATCCCCGGCAACGCTTTCGAAACAAGCCATTCTCACCCGTCATCATTTTGGCATGTTGATTTCGGAGGTGCGTTTTGATGTAACTTTTCGTAATGCTCCATATCCTTTCTTTCGCACTCAACGCTGACACTGAGCGTTTGCAACCATTACAGACAATTCGGAGTTTTGGTGTCCTCTTTTCAGAATATGGTTCAACAACAGTAATGTCAATGTTAACGTTACCAATTATCACTGCGGAGAAATTGTGTTCGAATCCCACCGCAACAGCTTGTTTTCCTTCATTTGATTGACCGCTTCCCCCTTCCTGAAAACCGTATCTTTGTATATCCAATAAAAGGAAGTAAAAATGATTAAAAAAATGATTAACCCACCAACATTCATAGCACCTATAAACTTGTATTCGACACCGTTGAATTCTTGGTGAGCACCGTGCATTTCTTTAACAATATAGATTGAAGTTGGATTCATCAGTCCCTATAATCTCATGTCTAAAAGCCTCGTACCATTGTCAGTGTTGAACATATTGAGGAAATGACTGAAGAACTGGTCATCGTATTACTTTTTCTCTTCTCTTCATCAAACAGTGAGTTCATCACTGCTGATATTCGATGAACCTTTTTGATTGTAATCAAATGGCACAGACCTTTGGCTAAGTTGATCGCGAATCTCAGATNCCTTTTTCGAAAAGGAATGACCAATAGTATGCTGAAACCGAGAGAAAAAAATGGTGTCCTTCGATGTCGCATCTCTGTATACAACCATATCGACACAACTGGCTCTGGAGAGCATACGGAATCTAATAACAGATGATCCTGGTCTTCCAGAAAGAACACCATTATTAGTGACTGACATCATGGAGCTGCTTGAAATCTGCATGGAAACATATTTACAGTTTGATGGGAGGATATATCGACAGGTGAAAGGAACTCCAATGGGATCACCAATATCCGGCCTACTTGCTGATGCGGTGATGAAACAATTCAAAACCAAGGCATTTGCAGAATACCACCGCCTCGGGGTTCGATATGTGGACGACACCTTTGTGGTGCTACCGGCAGAAAGAATCGAACGATTCCATAATACCCTAAACAAGGTTATGCCAGGGATAGCGTTTACCGGCGAGGAGGAAAACGACGTGAAGTTCCCTTTCTTGGACGTCCTTGTCAGACCAGACGGAAACACAGAAACCACTGTGTACAGAAAACCCACAATGACAGACTAGGTGCTGAACTACAACAGCAATCACCCCACGTGTCACCTTAGGAGCTGTGTGGACACTTTATTCCGCCGTGCGGACACATTGTAGCACAGAGGAACTTCGGCATCAGGAACGAATGCATCTGTTCCATCAATTCCACACAAATGGATAGCCCAAAAGTTTTGTCCAATCATGTCTCAGGGGAGGAAGAAAACCGAAGGATGAAGAGAAAAAACAAAACTCTTATTACCATACATACGTGAGGTATCAGAAACCGTTGATCGCATCCTTCGCCCTCTGGGTGTCACCATTGCCCACAAACCTACAACAACGCTGCGGTCAATCTTGTTCACAGGCAAGGACTATGTAAAACCACACGACCAATCAGGGGTGGCGTACGCGATTCTGTGCCTAGACTGCTGCGACCAACGTTACGTGGGAGAGACAGACGAACAACTGTGCCCTCGCTTACACGAACACACAATTGCACTATGACACGCCAACCCGAAGTCACACCTCAGGAACCACTGCGCAACGACAGGTCACGAGGTCAGAATCAATGACGCCAAAGTAGTGGCAAGGGCATTGAGGAAGGGGGAACTTCTAATCCTTGAAGCGCTGCTTTCGACTAACTCATTCAGTCGACACGTGGAAATCGATAAACGTTATGCAACGATTGTACAACCAATGAGGAACGCCGGATTGATGGACAAACAGGCGCGACGCAAACCACAGTACGAGGCACAGGCAGACCCAATTCATTCACACGTATTTTCGTTTGACAACGAGTCCTAGTCTGGATCGAAACGTCACAATAAAAACAATCACTCAGTGCTCGCCTCTTCCTAATCATGATGTCTGATTTTTAATCGCTGGCCGTTTGAAAATCTGACTATTTGATGTACCAGAATCCCCGATGCATCGATACAGTATTCGCCTTTCGCGATTTCGCAACCAATAATACCGACTTTTTTTGAACACTCAGTCTCAGTTGTCCATGAGTTCTTATTATCGTTTAAGCAAAGCTATGCACAAGGAAAGTAAAATGTTACCAGTTAAACTTACTTCAGCAATACTTCCAGTTCAAAGTATTCGCTTCGAGGAACCTCCGTTCGAATAGTCTCTAACCAGTAGGGCATTACAAAATCCCAGGTCTAGAAAGATAAAAGATCGAATTCCGATGAAATTGAGGAGATGCAACACTCGCGGCTGGTGATAGGATGAGCATTGATTTGAATATATCAAACGATACAAACACGTGATGCTCAAGATTCTTCCCAGTGTACATCTACAGTGCATGCTTTGCTACCGAATGTGGTGAAAATTTTTCATTCTAGTTCATTAGTAAAAGCCGTTGTGTTTGACTCCAGGTAGGGACACAAGTTCATAGCGATTGTTTATACAGGGGTTTTACTCCTCCACGAGGCCTCTGTACGTCTTACATTTGACCCATATTAATCTATGACTGGCAGATTTAGCCCTTTCTCATCATCTTTGACACATTTGGTTAAGTTTCGGTATTCCGAGTCAACTATATGGTACCAGCTTCTTCTGGATTTAACCGTGTATCATGGCTGGTTCATCCGTTAGCATTGTACATAATTCAAGCACCTCGTCCAGTTCTCCTTTGTGAGTCACTGGTTTAGACAGGCTCACACATCAAATACCAACTATTGAGTAGTCTACAACACCTCAACATAAATTATCTATATAATCATGCAGTAAGATCGTAGGGCACCACGTACACATCGCGATAGAGTCTCTAGACGGTCAACCAGCACAGTAGAATTTGAACCAATCGTGTGAACTAAAGTACATGTAATCGGATTGGTTGAATGTTGGAGAACTAATATTCCGAA